CAATTCTGTAACACAAATCAACCCAAGTTTAAATCCAATAACCTTCACCAACTTATTCGTCACATAGCCACAACGCTCTCCCAAGTCAAATCAAACCAATAACCTTCTCAAACCATGCTAACGTCCACAACAATCACTGGAAAAACGAAATATTCCAGGTAAAAGGAAATTTTCATTTTTCCATATGCTTACAACAAAAGTTGAGCTACTTCAATGCAAAATCAGTAACAAATTGAAATTTTTTTTCGTCAAATAATCTAATTCTTGATTCTACCTGCATGTCTATCAATCTCTAAAATAAAAAATATAAAATTCTTAATCAATGAACAGCACTGCCAGAAAACCTTTGGTCAAAACAGCGATTCGAGTTGATAAAAGCGGGTAATTTAAAAGCTTTTACTATTGACGAATCAAGCGAATGGCTGTTGGCGAGTGCAGCAAATTTGTTTCAGCAGCTAACGTATCTGACGTGCAATCATCTCGTCATTTGTGGCAAGAAAACTATGCTGAATCACAGATTCATTTTTTTGTCGGATTAGTTATTCAATCAAAACTTACCCAACATATCGACCTTTGAACAACAGCATGTTGACCAACCGGAAACAATTGTGATCTCGTCTCTGACCATATTTCATTTTATTCAGCGCCAACGCAACATGACAGTAACAATTATCACAGAACAAAGTATGCTGCAAGAGACAAAAAGAAAAGTCTCACATAAATAGATAAGAAAAAAAATATTCATTGACAACATACTCGAAGTTGTGATAAATAAGTTCACTATTCCGTAAAGTTTACATAAAGCATGCGGGTTGAAAAAAAACTTGCTTAATTTTAAATCAAATTTCTTGCATCTTCAGCCTATACAGAATAATTTGCCACTAAATTATATTAAAGACTAAGAAGAATATTTAAGCAGGATAACATACTATGTGACCTTTGTATTCTTCCGATGCATCAAATACAGCACGATCCCAGGCTTCCATTCCACCGTCAATCGTGTTTGGATCTACCTGTCGATACCATGTAGGCCAACCAAACGCCATATTATCTTCCTAAAGACCATATTATCATCTAAAGAATGAATTTATAAGATAATTTGTCTTAGTACACTACGAATAATTGATTTTTTGAAACTTTGTAATTATTGATTCCTTAAATTAACATAAGAAGAAATAATACTAAAGCAGAATAAAGCTGAAAATAAAAATGATAGGACCATCATCTAATTTGTTATCGCTACTATCAAGAAACATATCGAGAGCGATCATGCGAAGGATATCTAAGTTTATGATGTAAACATGAAAGGAACTTACAGAAACAGAATAGCTTCCTGAGAAATCACGGATAACACCTCGGCTTGTTGCTATGCCCATATGACCCACAAATGGAAATAACCATCTGCAATAAAGAAAACAGTGAAAGAGCAATAGAAAAAGAAAAAGATTTGCATTATTGGATAGTTTCAAGAACATACAGTCACCCAAAAGCTACCTTTATTATTCTACAGAAAGAAATCATCTTTCTGAAGCTTTGATAGAGCTCTCAAACTTATGCAAAGAGTAACTCAATTAATCCAAACGTATCACGCATGTGGATCATTGTACCCGTTACTTTCCAAACTCACAGTAACTTTTGAAAACTCATCAAATTACTAAAATTCATGTAACAGAAATCTAATCTTATTTTGATGTTGTATTTTAGTTTTTGTAATTGTCAAAACTTTTCATGTAATGGCTTACGTTTTAAAGCATCTCATAAAAAAGTCCAAAGATGAGATCAATCAAAAGATAATTGATCTTGATTAGATTTGAACTTATACATTAGAACAATGATAAGCTAAAAAATTTGTGTAGATAAAAAACTGATCAGTAATATTTGTGGAAGTAAATTGCCTATAACTAATGCAAGTCTAGAAAATTCCCTGTTCATCAAGAGAAATGTATGAAGCTTAATAAGAAATGCAATTCATGTGGCAAGACTTATGTACAGTTCTAGCACCGATGAAATCATGTAAGGCATAAGAATGATGCATTCATACATGTATAATGTGATTACGATATAAGAACAGTATTGGTCTCACGTAAATGAAACTCACGTAAGTATTGGTATTGGTGTCCATACAACACAACATGGAAATCGATGTCGTGCTGGATCAACTTCCATCATAACTTCTTCCACTTCGTCCACTTGATGCAGCTGCATGTCAAAAAATACAAATTAAGACAATCGAAAATAAACTGCAATCTCTGACATCCCATCTTTTGCTTCAGTCTAAATGGTAAGACAAAAAAATATTAGGCCTAGCTCAGGGCATACTTCCCAGGATTAGTCACATTTAACGGCTCGGCCGATTTTATTATGCTAATATGCATTTAAAGGATTGGAAGATCAGTTATCAGTTTGTCGGGAAAGAGAATGTTGTTGTTTGATAAGACGGGAAAATAGCTGTTGAAAGGAGGAAGGGAATAAGTTATCTATTGGAGAGAGGTTAGAGAATGATAAGATTTGTTGTGTCTAAAAGATGATGCTATGGAGGATTGTTTGACGAATTAGATGAAATGAGAATGTTTTTTTTTTCGCTCTTAAGTTGAACAAAATTCATAATTTTTAATTGAAATAAGGTTAGAAAATTGGATTGAATATATTTTTTTTGCAAAAAAAAAATAATTTTAAGGTGGAATTACATGTGAAGAAATTGCTTTCATTGATGGTTGATCGTTCACGTTCAGACCTACGCTCTACTCGAGAATACTTCAGTTCTCCACGCAGTGTTAAAGTGAAAATTAAATCTCTATTTTTTTAATGTAAAAAAAAATAATGACTTGATTAGCCAAATAATCTTTTGATTTGTTAAATGAGTTATTTAAGTATTATTTATAGACATTAATTTCTATATCTGACGTTCAAGTTACCATTATATCTAGTTTAATAAACATTATCGCTATTTTACAAAGCTTTTTGATATCAGAATTATTCGGTAGTCATTTTTAACTAAGAAGTCGGAGAATCAAACGAATAATTTAATGATTTAATTTCTATCAGTTGAATAATCAATGAGTTAACTTGATTAGCTTATTTTTTGCTTGGTTAAAATAGTTTTATTCAGTGTAAAATTGAAGAGCTAATTTATTCCGATTAATTTTTTTGCCTTTTTCATTTAATACTACTACAAAATTAATTAGGAAGAAGTTATTAATAGAAAAAAGAGGAATTTTAGTGAAAATTAGACAAGATAATAATTTGTCAAGTTAATTGATCTATTATTTAGAAGAAATGAAGTAAATTCGTTTCTGCTTGGTTCATTGCTTGATTTTCACTATATGGATTTCTTGCAGAATTATTTAATACTTAGATTCTTACTTAAATTTGATACTTAAATTCATAATTCTTCAAATATGATATATTTAATTCAATATAACGCATAAATGCTGAATCTAACTTATTTCGTTGTTGCAATTTTATTCGATTTAAATTTTAGTTTTTCAGGAAGAACATGAAGTGAAACGCGGGCGTCGGATTCATCATTACAGTGGCGGTGCTGATATTCGAGAAGATAGGTCAAGAAATGCGACGGTGACGATTATGGCTCGCCCAACTGCTATTTTATCGAAACCTAAAGGTAATTTTTTTGCAGAAGCAGTATCCTAGGAATCGGTTGCTTAGACATTTTAGTGTACCAATTGTCGTTCTAAATGAAGATTTCTTCGCTTTTTTTAATCATTTTCTTACCGAGACGATTGAAATATATTTTTTATATAAAGAGAGAGTATTTTTAAAGTTAAAATCCGTTATTTTTTTGAAGTTTATTATCATTTGTCTTCTTGTTTAAAATATCTCATTTTCGTTTATTTTCAAAAAAGGAAAAAAGAGAAATTACCCAAATTAATTTTTACTATTCAGAAGAACCACTTACATCCGATAATGCGGAAGGCAGTCAGAAGACAATATCTCGAGCTATTTCGTCATCCCAGGTAATCATTTGACAGTAATTGTGGTTATGTAAACTTCACATTTTGTTGTTATCACATTGAGATAATGAAAAAGCACATTTCATTTCCTGTAAATCCACTGTTGCAGGAACTAATACTATCCGGAATAACTGGTCCAAATTCTGCATCACGATTAACTGGTGGATCTTCAAAGACAATTAAAAGCCCTTCACTCCGAGCAGATAAGACACATTAGCTTTTTGAAACCAGTAGCATGATCTTCATAGAATTTTTTTTATCGTTATCAGATTTTAATTTTCAAATTACAAAAATTGAGTTTCTGAGATTTTTAGATATTTCCCGTGGTTCAGCAACAACTTCAACTGTTATGGAACAATCTCTTGGAATTATGAAAGCAGCTGTGCGTTTACTTTCTGATACGATGGATTTTACGGATGTTGTTGCGGTTTGTTGATCATTATTATTATTTTTTTTTTGTTTACAAAGAAGGATGAATATGAGATAGTTTAGTAATTGTTGTTCCTATAATTCCAGAGCTGAAAAAAAATTGTTTCTGGTTTTCTCTACAAGATAAAATTCGTGGTATCTTTATAGAATTTCAAAACTACATATTAATTTATACCTTTTAGGATTATTTATCCACTACAAATACAAATTTTACTGTCATCGGTATTATTGGTCCACAAGGTACGGGTAAATCAACACTCCTCAGCATGATAGCTGGTAATGATCATATGGATATGTACAGGTTCTTAGAATTTTCTTTGAATATTAAAGCTTCATCAGCTAAGTATAAAATCAGTCTAATTAGCGAGTATAGGTAAATGGTAAGCAAGGAGCTCTACGAATTATTTTGTGCAACTCATGTTTCGTCACTCTCTTTCTCCAGGAGACGCATTCAATGTGTGAGATTGACATTTTGAAGATTTTCTCTATTTTTTTTATTGGAATTTTTCCTAATTTTTATAATGCCTAATTTTTTGCCTAATTCTACTCTTGATTGTTTGTTGTATCCTTTCTTTTAACCTGTTACCGATTTAGAAAATGCTCAATTTCTTCCATTGTAAATTACGGTTTAGAAATATAATGTAATGAATTAGGATTTTATACCGCTCCTATAAAATATCTTAATACATATATTTTACTGTTTTAGATATTATGCTTTTCGTCCGGCTTCTCGCGAAGCAGTTGAATGTTGCCGTTTTCAGTCCCAAAAGATAAGCATTTATGTAACCAAGTCGAGGATGATTTTACTGGATTGTCAGGTAAATTTTAAGTTCGTAGAGGATTCTTCCAATCAACGTAGCAGAACGTCCATTTTCGAAACGTAATTTACCGATCAATTAACATAAGATCAGAACCGATACGTATATATTTTACTTCTAACGAGAAATGTTGAAAATAAAAGCTGCGAATAAAAAACAGTTATGAATAATTGGTAAGCAGTATTGTTACCCGAAGGTAATGGATTAAAGATGTTTTATCAGACCCATATTGCAGGCAATCAGTTCTGCTTCGATTCTTAATCACTTATTAATTACATCATCGTTAGATGGAAATCGTTCGGGAGGTTCAAAAGCAATGGATCTTCGTCGGGGATTTGCAGCGCTTTCGGGAGAAGTTGAAGTACTATCAAGTATTCTCAATGTGACATTCAAAATCTCCTTGTTAAACAGTTGCTGCAGTATTAAGGAGATTAATTTTTTCATCAGTTTTTTCTTAGTTTTCAAATACTAAATTTTCAACTGAAAATTTTGCAGAGTTTACATTTAACAGCATTTCTCTTACAAGTGTGTCATACCGTAATACTTTCTGTGGATTGGTTCATTGATATTGATGTGATTCGGCATGTACGAACAGCAGAAATGCTCCGTGTAACACCGACTCATTACTCATCTGAAACACTGAAGTATAAGCCGAATCGTAAAATTAATATTGGTAATTTAATGCCTTTTATGGTGTTTTTGGTTATTCATTGATCAATTCGGACGTACTAGATTAATTACAAACTGATAAAGCCGTTAGAAGCTTATTGCTAGAATCGATATTTATTTTATCGCAGATGTTTCATCATGATGCAGCAATGAGTAAAATTATGATATCAGTCGTCAGATTGTTGATTTAGTATGCCTCCGGACTGGCAAAATTAAAATTTGAAGGCTGAAAAATTGATAAAATGTTATTTTTTAGTGTTAGCCCATCAACGAGCCAAATCAGAAGACTTTCAGCCAAGAAATGTGAGGAATCGGGCTAGAATTTTGGAATGTTTATTCAGTGATTCACAACTGAATATCAAAGGTGGCATATCATTAGGCGGTTTAGGGTGTAAACCGTATAGTGAAATTGCATCGAATGTAAATTACGTATTACTGTCAGAAATAAAACCACGACCAAAAATGGAAGTATGCGCATCCGGTGGGTTTCTCTCTCATTTCATATTTATTTCCAAGAGTTTTCGAAAGAAAATCAAAGGCTAAAAAACTTTGTCAAATAACGGATAACTAATTTTGCAGATTTCGTTTGGCTTCTTATCCGGGCACGTACTTAAAATGTAGTATTTTTTATTCGTAATTTAATCTTTGATATCGATATTTAAGTTAAGCATTTTGAAATTTTAGGTGAAATACATGTTGATTTAGTTTAAAATTTTAGCTTTTGTTGTAACTGAAAAAGTTTGAAACTAAAGTTTTCATATTTGTTAAAGATTTAAATTTTAACGAAGTCGTTTTGTTTACCAGCAAATTCTTTTTTTTTTTTAATACAATTTGTTCGTTTTGATGATTTTTTTGTTTAAGCTTTGCCATTTATGACTATGGATTACACCCCCTTACGAGCAGTTATTGATTATGAAGATATTATACGCCCACTACGGATTCGGTTGCTGTCATTACCGAAAGAACCATTTATTCTTGGAAAACAACTTTTCACAGAAATCCA